TCTTCTATCCGCCTCCCACTCTCTCCCTATTTATTTCAAAACCCCCTTCCCCTCCCCCTTTTCTGATGAAGGGTCTAGGCCCGAAACGTCAGCCTCTCTGCTCCTATGATGCTGCTTGGCCTGCTGTGTTCATCCAGCCCTGCACCTTGTTGTCTCGGATTCTCCAGCATCTGCAGTTCCTACTATCTCTGATTCATGTACATTGCTGTTTCTTTATTATCACTTTGTCAAAGTTCTGGAATTCAATACTTAAAAGCACTACAGGTGTGCGTACACAATAAGCAGTACAACAGTTCAACAAGGCTGCTCATCATCACCTATTCCAAGGCAGTTAGGGACGGACAAGAAAAGTTAGCCTTGCCACTGATATCCACATCCCAAGAACTGAATGAAAGTCTTTATTTACAGGTGAAAAATACCTTATTTTAAAACCACAAAAGTGTGGCAAGAGAAGCATCAAAATAGGACTATGTTAAATGTCAACAGCTGACTTTTACCTTTCCTCAGCAAGCACAACATACCTGTGATTGTAACTGTGTCAACTGAAGTGGTCTGCAGATTGAGGCTGCTAGTTTCGGAATCAATGTGAATAGCAGTTAAATTTGTCAATTCTTGCTCAGCATCTGTTTGCCGTAGTGGTCCTAGATCTGCTTCAGTGTATATGATAGAAGTGGTTTCACTGCCAAATGTAAAGCCTACAACAGAACCAAAAACAATGACCATTATGAACCCCTTCTTGAGCAAAAAAACATGGCAAAGTATGACTGAGAAGATTGTGCAAATCATATAAGTTTTAACAGTAGCAAAAACTTGGACTTTCTAAGTAGAGATGCAAGAGGAAATAAATACAAAAGAACTCTAAAAGTGTTTGCAAAGGCATTGTAGAACCAAAAATCATGTACAAAAATAATCAAAGGAGCGTAGGAGGTTGAAGGGTGACCTTATAGAGGTTTACAAAATTGTGAAGGGAATAGATAAGGTGAATAGCAAAGGTCTTTGCCCTAGGGTAGGAGAGTGCAAAACTAGATGTCATAGTTTTAAGGTGAGAGGAGAAAGATTTAAAAGGGACCTATCTGAAGGGCAACTTTTTAACACAGAGGGTGGTTCACATGTGGAATGAACTGCCAGAGAAAGTGGCAGATGCAGGTACATGAATACAAAAGATTTAGAGGAATATGGGCCATTGGTAGGCAAATCGGACTGGTTTAACTTGGCAAACCAGGTTGGCATGGATGAGTTAGATCGAAGGGTCTGACTCTATAAAGTGGTTCAGCCAGTATAACAGATGTCAATTCTGCCAACCAATTAGCGGTCTCTTAAAAATGCTCAACATCAGCAAGATCAGTGTTATTTAAGGCTACAGAGTCCATTCATCAGTCTGATAACAGCAGGGAAGAAGCTGTTCCTGAACCGACTCATGCGTGTGTTCAAGCTTCTGTATCTTCTGCCTGAAGGCAGAGGTTATAGGAGATCATTACCGGGATGCGATGGGTCTTTGATGATGTTGGCTGCCTTTCCGCAGCAGTGATCTGTGTAAATGGAGTTCATGGATGGAGGGTTGGCTTCCGTGATGGCCTGGGCTGTGCACACCACCTTCTGTACTTTCTTACATCCTGGATAAAGCTAATGCCATGCTAGGTTGTTATGTATCCGGACAGCATGCTTTCAAAGGTGCATCTGTAGAAGCTGGCGGGGGACTTTATGGACATGCCACATTCCCTGAGCTACCTGAGGAAGAAGAGGCATTGTTGCGTCTTCTAGACTGTCGTAGTCAAGCAATACCAATTTAAGAGGGATTTGTCTGACAGTAGGCCCTTACAGGGTATCCATAACATGATTTCCACCACAAATTGGACAGATTCAAATCAGTCAAATACAGACTTGACTTAACATAATATCTAAACAGCAAACTGGTCTACGTAGCAGTGTTGCAAATGTTGGTCACTATTTGACAGAACTGATTTAGAAGTAAAAATGCAATGACGTTTAACTATCCTTGAGTGGAAAACACTCAGGCCTCCATTTAACTATACAGTGTTGAGACATTAGTTCTGATTAGATAATAATAAACTGACTGTTAAGGCTACCACTTGTGAATATCTAGCTCATAATTCATACATTCCAGAATATAAATTTTAGTTTTAAAAATCTGAATTTTAAGTGCAAGAAAATTTGAAAAGCATGGTCAAGAAAAAAATAAACAACCACCAATATAAAGGGAAATCAAACTAACCTAGGTTTAATTAACTTGTCTACTTTACAAAGTCAAGAGTTTGGAGCCCTCTTGTGATGCAGTGATACTGTCCTTACCCCTGAACCAAACAACCTGGGTTCAAGTTCCATCTGTTCCAGTGGTGTGTGGTAACATCTCCAAATGGATTGGTTAGTAAAATAGGTTAATTAAAAAAAAAGTCAGAGTTCTTAGTGAAAAAAAAACTTGGACAAGGAATGATCAATTTCCAAGCTTGAATGGGAGTTAAAAAGGTCTGGCTAAAGGATAAAAAAAATTCCTTTAGAAAAAGAAATTATTCACATGGTTTAAGGAAGCAAAGAGTTCTACTGAAGGCAAAGTAATTTGCTCATATTTCCGAGGTGGGGAGGCATTGGTGAAGTGGTAACGTCACTGGATTAGTAATCCAGAAACCCAGCCTAATGTTCTGGGAACACTGGCTCAAAAGTCACCAAAGACAAATGGTGAACTGAAATCTGAAATCAAAGAAATAAACAGCTTAATGACGACTACGCAACCATTGCCAACAGTTGTAAAACCCCAACTGGTTTGCTAATATTCTTTAGGGAAGGAAATCTGCCAACCTTGCCTATATGTGACTCCAGACCCACAGCAATAAGGAGACTCTTAACAGCCCTTTGAAACAGACTGGCATGCCACTTAGTTCAAGGTGCAGGCAGGAAATTCCAGCTTTGCCAACGAGGTTCACACAAACATAGAAAGTAGCAGGAAAAAGCCATTCATCCCTTTAAGCCTGCTCCAACATTCAGGATGATCATGAGCTCATACCCTAAATCCTTCTCCCCCTCCCCCATAACCCTCGATACCTTTAGTCATGAGCTGTATCCATCTGCTCCTTGAAAACATTCTGTGGAGGTACAGTGTTGGGCTGGGGTGGACAAGGTCAGAAATCACACAACATCTGGTTATACTCCAATACGTTTAGTTGAAATGTGTGGTAGTCAATTCCAGGCTCACCACTCTCTCAGTTAAGAAATTTATCCTCATCTTAGTCCTGGAAGGTTTACCCCTTATCCTTAATCTATGACACCAAGCCCCCACCTCCAACCTCTTCTGGACTCCCCCACCATTAGGAAGATCTTCCTTCATTCAACCAGTGTAGTCCTGTTAGAATTTTATAGTTTCTAAACTCCAGTGAATACAGTCATAACCAGCTCAAACTTGCCTGTACGGCAGAGCCGCCATCTCAGGAAACATTTTGTTACACCTTCGCTGCACTCCTTCTACAGCAAGAACATCCTTCCTCAGATATGTAGACCAAACCTGTATCCAATATTCCAGATGTGGCCTCACCAATGCCCTACATAATTGCAGAAGACATTCTTGTTTCTGTACTTGAATTCTCTCTCTATGAATGCCAGCATACAGTTTGCCATCTTTACTGCCTGCTGTATGTGTTTGCTTACTTTCAGCAACTGGTACACAAGAACACTCAGGTCTCATTAAGGATTCCCCTCTCTCAATTTATAGCCATTCAAATAACAATCTGCTTTCTTATTTTTGCTACCAATGTGGGTAATCTCACATGTATCCACATTATACCACATCTGCCATGCATTTGCCCACTCACTCAGCCCATCCAAATTACTCTGCAACAGAGCAGACTTTTTCCCAGGGCAGAAATGACTATCACGAGGGGACATAATTTTAAGGTGATTGGAGGAAGGTATAGGGGAGATGTCAGAGGTAGGTTTTTTACACAGTGTGGTGGGTGCATGGAACGCACTGCCAGTGATGGTAGTAGAGTCAGATACATTAGGGACATTTAAGCAACTCTTGGATAGGCACATGGATGATAGTAAAATGAAGGTTATGCAGGTAAGTTTGATCTTAGAGTAGGATAATAAGTCAGCACAACACTGTGGGCCAAAGGGCCTGTACAGTAATTCTATGTTCTATCTCTGCATCCTACTCATAACTCAGTGTTCCACTCAGCTTTGTTTCATCTTCAAATTGCTCCATTACACTTAATTTGTGGGGGTAGAAATTGTTTAAGTTTTGTATGTGCTTGTAAGCAGTTCAAATTGGCAACAGCAATTCTGCTTTATCATAGACTGTTGCAACTCACTGTGGTAGAGTACTGGATATCAAGCCCTGCTACTCCTGGTGTCATCATAAAATCTAAGGTCTTTAGAAGTACACAAAGATTCCTCAATTTATGTGCCTTTCAAACCCAGGTTGACAGAAAGCACAGACCAGGTTTCTATACTTAACAAAAATTACTGTTTTTTACAAATAACTAGTCTTCAGCTATAGGTAAATGATTATCAACTGTCAACTCATAACTGCATGAATCCAACTCTAATCCCTTTATTAATATTCACACAGACGGGAAAACAAACATCAGTTATGAACAGAAGGAAAGCTGGAAAAGCAGTACAGTGGTTCCTATTCACAAAAATTGCTGAGATGATTTTTGAATTGGTCAGGATGCTGCTCTATACTTCTCAGGAGGCTTCCAGTGGTTTGCAAGAGGCGCAGGCTGGCTGTTTCACTCATATACCTAATCTCTGGTTTACTAATCAAAAGCTTACAACAACTGCTGAATGTAAGATAAACTGGTTTTCTTCACGCTTAAAGTAGCTTACTGCTAATTTAACACCTCAACACCGTGGGCTTGTTTCTTCTCCAGTAGCCTTACATGATATCTTGTCAAATGCTTTTTGGCAATCCAAAAACACAACATTTAATAGTCCAACTTTATTCACGCTGCCTGTTACAGCCTCAAAGAACTAATAAATTTGACAAAAACTATTTGCCTTTCACAAAACCACATGATATCTGACTGACTGAATTACAAATTTTTAATTTTCTAAAGTCTTTACACTACCTCATTAATAATGAATTCTAACATTCTTCCAATAACAATTTGGCAGTTTCTGTGAATCTGAATCTTTGGTCAAAACTCTTGGTCCTAGGGATGTTGATCATTGTGTTCTTCCTGCCTGTCAGCAAAAACAACTTGTAATCTGTGTCATAGGTAAATTGTAATTCTAAATTCCCAGTAGCAATACTCATGGGCCATAGAGGTCCAATTGCACAAAATTGATCAAATATAAACATTTAATTATTCTAATCCTATTTTCCAACACTTGGCCCAGAGCCTTGGATGCCTTCACATCGCAAGCGTGCATCTAATACTTCTTAAATGTTATGAGGCTTCTGCCTCTATCAGTCTGGCAGGTAGTGAGTACCAAATTCCCACCATCCACTGGATGAAAAAATTTTTCTTTGCATCCACCCTAAACCTCCTGCCTGTTACTTTAAATGTATGACCCTGGACAACGATCCTTCCACCAAGGAAAACGTTTTCTTCCTGTGTACCCTGTCTCCACCCTCAGAATTTTATGTATCTCAGTCCTGTCCTCGCCTTAGTCTCCTCTGCTCCAAAGAAAATAAGCCCAGTCTATCCAATATCTTTTCATAAATAAAACTCTCCAGCCCAGGCAACATCCTGGTAAATCTCCTTTGCACCTCTCGAATTCCTCCTATAATGTGGATTATACTCTCATTGTAGCCTGACCAACACTTTATACAGTTCCAGCATAAGCTCTCTACTCTTAAACTCTATGCACATGAATTAGTTTTGTTAGAATTACAGGTCACCTATGATACAGATAAAATAGCCTAGACATGTTATTCTCAATGTGGGGAGAAGCATGTTTGAGCTTATTATCCGACAATTTATTTGCCGTTTAGATATGTGTGTTGATCAAGAAATCAAAGTATATCAATTGACTAATCCAAAATTCTATTCTGTTAAATTGTATTCAGGATTGGACACCAGTACATCACATGATGTAACTATATGTTTAGTTGCCAAGTGAAACACACCACATTACCTAATGGCTCACAGTTTAATTACAGGACAAATGTTATGAAGCATTGATTTTCCTTATTACAGATCAAATACTGCAAAGCATGTCAGCTGAAAATATGCTAAACTCTGGGGCCTAGAACTCCCTAGCGAAATAACACATCAATTTGTACTCAAAGGCCTATTACATTAAGCAAACATGGTTCAGAGGTTTGGAGCTTTTTAGTTCCATATCATAAATTATTTTAGTTTAACTTGGAGCATCTTAAAAAGAAGTAACCACTTACTTTTAAATTGGTGTATCCTTACTTAAGAATGAAGTATTGTGATGGCATTGTAATCAGTTTTGTAAATATGTAGCTCTTTTGACTTTTCAACTGAATGTTTCATGCAAGTATACTTCACTACCTGAGTTAATCACTATCTCAGTTTTAACAATGATTGTCTTTATTAACTGACTTATTCACACTTCCTATAGATTTTGAGTTATTACCTTCCTTACAATTTCTGTTCTAGTTTTAAGGTTGGATGCAATTTTGTTACTTCTGCTATTGTTATTTAAGCCAAGCCCAGGCATCAACAACCACAATTAAAAATGCACAGTAGCAGATAGCTCCTTTATCAAAAAAACACACTGATCAGCATCTGATCCATTAAGAACTCTGAACGATACACAGATACCCAGAAAGTTGTTTGAGACAATGAGCCCTATTATCAATCAAACAGACGTGACAACATACATCTCATTCCAAACAAAAAGAACAAAGAAAATGTTTTTCTGAAGAAGGGTCTAGGCCCGAAACGTCAGCCTTCCTGCTCCTCTGATGCTGCTTGGCCTGTGTTCATCCAGCTCTACACCTTGTTATCTCAGATTCTCCAGCATCTGCAGTTCCTACTATCTCTCCCAAAGAAAACATTGTTAGGTATCTTAGCACCTGAAGAGAAAACTATAATGAAACAACGAAAAAAAGCTCTGAGAAATAATGATCTCACATGTCACTGAGACCATAAGGAGCCAGCCAGAAAATAACATGCAATGACATTGATAAGGTGACTATCACCCTTAAGAAACCAATCAGACATTAATCATGAAACACCCAAATAATCACAAGACTATGATGCACTGCCCGATGTTCAGGAACACCACTGATAATAGAGAGGTAGCGACTAGCAGGAGTTAATAAGCAACAACATTTTTCTATGCACCTGGTTGCTAAAAGAATATAGACTTTTAGCAACAAAACACATCAAAGGACAATGCCACAGTGGGCCAGGGGACGTAAGCTCCAGTGTTCCAACCTGACTGTTTGCAGCTATCTTTGCTATATAAAACAAACATAGAAAATGCTGGAGAAACTCAGTAGGGCTGACACAATGTGTAGATACAGAAATAGAGTTAACATTTTGATTCTGAACTTAACTGAAGAAATAGCATATCAAACTTGAAACATTAATTCTGTTTCTCTCTGCACAGATGCTGCAAAACCTGCCGAGTTTCTCCCACATTGTGTTTTCTTTTTCAGATTCCAGCTTTTGCAGTATTTTGTTTTTATTACCTTCATGAAGAAACCCATTTTTACATTAATTTGGTTAACCTAATGAATTCTGTGAATATTGTAAAGAGATGCCTCTACCTGGCATGTTAGTAACTAGTTGGAATCAGTAATCCCCACAGAATGTTGATTTGCCCAGCTCAGTCTATAATTGCAATTGACTTCAGTCTTAGACTTAACTTAACGTAAACCCTCGATCTTCCATCTGCATCATGAACAAACCTACATGTAGCATCTATTTGCATGAGGATGACATTTCTATTCATTTACTAAGTGCAGTTTAACCAGACTCAATTAAAATTGCTTGACTCCTATAAAATGTACAATATGCTTCAATGAGCAATATAATTCTTTCTTGTTTGGCACACAGTGAACATCAAGTTTTGGCAGGTGATGCATCAAGAGAAGATTTATGGTCAAATAGACATTCACCACTTTAACTATTTCGAAAGAATGCATGGTACATTGATAGTACATTAAATAGCTGCATAAGAGAGAAGATCCTCAATACATATAGGTGGGTGAAATTTGGATTCCACTTTGAGAAATCAAAGGAAATTCACATCATCATAAATCAATCCAAAGCTACAGTTATTGATTCATAAATTTATTTCAAAGATAAAGTAGGTCATTCATTTTATTGATAAAATGAATACACCTTAAAACTTGAACAGAAAAAGCATAGTGAGTACATACTTACTCTCAAATTTTCGTCCATCATATTGGAAAGCATTGAAAGAATCCGAATGGCTGTCAGAACTAATGAGATCACTACTTCCAGCACTGGCTGGGGAAGTCCATTCGGATGGGATGCCTGGGTCATCGACTGGTCTGGTCTGGTTCTGCCGGTTCAACAAATCAGGAAGATCTTTTGGCACTTCCAAACTACCAGGACTACTTCCTCTCCTCAAAACATTCTAGTACAAAAAAAATTATGTTTTTGTTACCAATTTCAAATTGATATAGCTGGAATGGCTTAATTATGTTCCAGCTAAGGGTGGAAGTGAATCTAATAAGATAATTTATTGACTTAACAATCAATTCAGTGATATTTCATTATATTTAAAAAGGGGGGCTACAAATGCAAGTAAGTGTTCTTAATAGTGTACTGTTAACTGCTTCAGTTGCAACAAGTTTTGCCTTCAGACCTAGTAAGAACTGCCAATGCTGGAGTTAGAGATAACACAGTGTGCAGTTGGAGGAACACAGCAGGCCAGGCAGCATCAGAGGAGCAGGAAAGTAGACGTTTCATGTCGGCACCCTTGTTCAGAAATGGGGGAGGTGGAAGGGAGCTCAGAAATAAATAGAGAGGAGGGGTGGAGTTGGGGAAGGTAGGTGGGATGGTGATACGTCAGTGCAGGTAGGGAGTGGTGGGGATTGGTCAGTGCGGTGGGAGGAGCGGATAGGTGGGAGGGAATGTTCCCTTCTGGTCGTGAACCATTTCAACTCCCCCTCCCCCTCCCTGGGCGACATCCTGGGCCTCCTCCAGTGTCACAATGATGGCACCCGCAAACTGGAGCAGCAGCAACTCATATTCCGCCTCGGGAGCCTACAACCCAATGGTCTTAATGTGGACTTTACCAGTTTCAAAATCTCCCCACCCCCATCCTCATCCCATGACCAACCCTCCTTCTCATTCCCACCTCCTTGACCTGACACAACCTGTCCATCTTCTCTCCAACCTATCTGCTCCTCCCACCTCAATGACCGATCCAATCCCCACCACTGCCTACCTACACTCACCTATTACCATCCCATCTACCTACCCCAGCCCCACTCCTCCTCTCTCTATTTATTTCTGAGCTCCCTTCCCCTCCCCCCTCCCCCATTTCTGAAGAAGGGTCCTGACCCAAAACGTCAACTTTCCTGCTCCTGGCCTGCTGTGTTGCTCCAGCTCCACAATGTGTTATCACCTTCAGAATTCATTCAAGGGATCCCTGGTTTAATTTGAATGACAAGACAGCGCTACAACAGAAAGTGTCAGGTAAATTTACAAAAGCACTGTATGGAACTAAATCAATTTCTAACAAAACTAATTCATGTGCATTCAATTTAAAGATGCATCTGTAATAAAATTTTAACTTGGATTTTATTTTAAATAAAGAAATCCATTGGCTTAGTGGGTAAACATACCAAATTACTGTAATATTAATTCTTAATGTCAGAAAAGTTCAGATTCAGAATCTTTGATCTATATTGAATGATTTATTCCAGGTTACAACTTACAGGTGCTCATTATTCTTTGTGCATGATCTAGGTAGAGTTGGCAAAATGCTCAAAAATTGATTATATCCTTGGAAATTGCCAAGACAAACTCAACATCTCCAGAACAGAAAAGATGAGACAAAAATCAAATTGGAATAAGAATATCAATATTGCATTTTTGAAAAAAAGCTCTACTTGCCACACTTTGGCGTTAAAATTATTAACGGGAAACAGAAAAAATACGACATACATGGGAGACTGCTGTATTTGCTGCCAACTTACCAAAATGTTATGGTCCACAATAAAATAAGCAATATTGTAGATAAGGTTAACTGAATATACAAAAATTTTAAAAGGAAAAATAATATTATTTGTGTATCTGAGACTTTGGGTTGGAAAGAATAAATAATTTTTAATCTCCAAAGTTGCCTTCATTATTGCTTTACTGAATACAAGTACTGTTTTATAAAATAGAAAACAAACATGAAAATAATTTTTGATAGGAGTGGACCATTCAAAACTTCAAAATTTGTCAATTTGAATCACTTCTCTTAAGTTCTAATCAGAGATAGTAGGAACTGCAGATGCTGGAGAATCCGAGACAACAAGGTGCAGGGCTGGATGAACACAGCAGGCCAAGCAGCATCATAGGAGCAGAGAGGCTGACGTTTCGGGCCTAGACCCTTCATCAGA